ATGGTGTATCTGAATTACTATGGTTAAGGAGATTGTTGAGAGACCTTGGTTTTGGGCCTAAGAAACCCATGGATTTATATTGTGACAATACGGCTGCGATTGCGATTGCTCATAACCCTGTACAACATGATCGTACAAAGCATGTGGAAGTTGATCGAAATTTCATTAGAGAAAAGTTGGATGCGGAGATTGTTTCCTTTCCGTTCATTCGTTCTGAGTACCAGTTAGCCGATGTTCTTACGAAAGCTGTTTCTACAAGTATCTTTCTCAACTCGCTTGACAAGTTGGGTATGCGTGACGTCTTTGCTCCAACTTGAGGGGGAGTGTTAGCGAGAGATATCCTATTCTATTAGGATATTATTTTATTTATTTCCTTTTATATAGATATTATGTAATTAGGATTCCACTTGTTTTCCTAGTTTGACCCTACTAGGGTTTGTAACCTTGTATTATAAATACCTCTTTTTGGAGAATGAAATACATCTGAAAATATTCTACCATATTGTTTGACTAGTTTATGCATACTCTTACAGATGTACATTTTGGTATTGTCAAACGAATTCTAAGGTATCTGCAAGGAACATTGCAGTATGGTATTACTTTCTCCCCTGGTTCTATGCTTCTCTTAGGGTTTTGTGATTCAGATTGGGCTGGTGACCCTAATACTCGCAGATCCACCACAAGCTATGTTGTTTTTCCTGGTCATAATCCCATATCTTGGTCTGCAAAGAAGCAGATTTCAGTTTCTCGTAGCTCCACAAAAGCCGAGTATCGTGCTCTTGCTCATTGTGCTGCAGAGATTTCCTCGATTTGACAAGTTTTATGTGACCTTCATATGTTCATTCCAGAAGCTCCAGTCCAGCATAGTGACAACTTATCAGCCTTAGCTCTTAGTGCTAATCCTGTGCTTCACTCACGTATTAAGCATATGGAAACTGATTTTCATTTCTTTCGTGAGAAAGTTCAGAACAAAGATCTCATTGTTCAATATGTTCCTACTGACGAACAAGTTGCCGAAATTCTCATCAAAGGTCTTCATAGTCCCATTTTTGTCAAACACTGCTCCAATCTCAGCCTTGGGTCTCCCCCAGCTGCAATTAAGGCGGGATGTTAACAGTATGTTGAGGTATCCAATTGGTTAAGATGAGATGGCAAGTCTGTTAGCTTCACGTGTTAATTAGCATGTTGGTTAAGGTGTTCACGTGCTTATTAGCATGATTAGTTAGACTGTTAGCATGGGTAGCTTAGTGAAGAAGCAATGTACGTTTAGTTAGCTATATATATAATTCTTGGTTCAGATCATTTTCATTCATTGCGAAATATAGAGCTTTACTTTATTCTTCTTCTCTCTCTAAAATAAAACCTAGATTACTATCTTTCGACCATGCTTAACAGAAAGAATATTCCATAGAGGAAGAAGGAAACTGATCTTCACAGCACGGGGACATGTTCATGAATGGCTTTAACATTCAAAGTGAAACTGGATGATTAAGCTAAACACGATTCTAATTAAAGTAAATTAGAAAAGAGCTTAGTCCTTATTCTAATTAAAGCAGCAAATACATAATAGAAGGTGTACGGCCCACCCTCATCATCTATGAACGGCTTGATTTTGATGTTCAAAATGAAGCCACATTGGACACTCGCAGACTACCACCACCAGTTACAATACCATGGTATTTCAGTGGCACAGGAGACGGTTTAGGTGCAGGTCCTGGGTCTGGAGGTGAAGGACCAAAATGTAGTGGTGGCGACGATTTGTGTGGAGGCAAAGGAGCAGCAGAGGTTGAGGACCTTCCAAATATGATTATCCTCATGGATTGATCCCTTGGATTAGTTCCTGCAACATGCACACATGTAAATGCGGATCAGTAGATAATTTTAGTTGATGGTTTCTAGATTAAAATAGATTGCCAGTGTAAACAGAATGTTCTTTAATTTTTATTTTCTACATTTGCTTCGACTCACAACAGTTTTGATCAATTTTTACGATTTTTTGATTTTATTCTTGGCAACGTGCATTAAGGTAGGGTTTTTAAGTTTTAAATCTATATTATAACTTCAAATCTGTCAGCCCACGGGAAATAGTTAAAATATCACAAAAAATATATTTAACAGAAGAACACATACAATTATTGCATGGTTTTTTGGTATCAAATCATATATGACAATTTACCTATCAAAGCCCTTGCATGAGCAGAACTGATCCAAGTTCCCACAGCAAACACAAGGATTATGAACGTGCCTCTCATCATTGAAGGATACATATGTGTCCCTAGCTGGCTAGAATTCATTGAATCGAATTGAAATGAAGTTATTTATAGACCAATTAATGTACTACAGTACTGACTCATTTGTATTAGGTATAGGAATCACGATACTGGTAGTTGGTATAATTAGCAGTCAAGGGCGGTCGTAAGACTAGTAGGATCATATCACATCAAAGCTTACAAGGAATAATAATTAGGGGAGTTATGACTTCACCACAAACTTAGTTCTCATCACTGCAGATCCTACTGCAAACTGCATTGGCCAATTTCGGGAAGCTCGAATCTCCCACATAACAGAAAATGACTTCACCATCCTCTTTCAAGATGAAGCAATTATACACACACACACATACGTATAGGTTTAATAATTCAATATAATGCTATTTGTACTACCTTTATTGACCATCTTGCAAACTACCTCTCTAATAGAGATGGGACCATCTTGCAAACTATCTTGCAAACTACCTTTATTAACGTACTGAAAAGGGAAATACTACAAAAGTTTATCAGATGTGTCAATGTCACTAATACTTTTTGTCTCCTGTTTTTATAGAACAGAGTAGTTTATGCGTATCACAAACACAGCACAATGAGATGAAGCTGAACAAATTTGACCCATCTACCAAGTTAATTTCATTAACATATTTAAAAATTTGAGTTGATCAATTTCACTTCCTCAAAAATAAATCGTTGGTTTGAAGCAAATTCTGAAACAATTCCACTATTATACTAGTTCAGTCTGTGTGTAGCCTACATCCAGTTCGAAGACAACGAGAAATTCCACTAGTATTCCAAAACATATTACACACAAAGGAAATTAACCCTTTCACCTATCCTAGAAATTACAGAGTATAACTCTCACAGTCCAAGTTCATAACGAACAGCGAACTTAACGATTATGACCGAGCCTCTCATCATTGAATCATGCTTCCCTAGCTACCTAGAATAATTCATAAAAATATTGGGCTATATAGACCAACGTAAATGTAGTACAGTAACTGACTGGCAGTAGGCAAACTTAGCAGTCAAGTGCGGTCCTAAGACTTGTACTGAAAGAGACTAGAAATACTACAAAAGTTTATCAGATGTGTCAATGTCATGTCCCAGACAATACTTTTCGTCTTCTGTTTTTTTATAGAACAGAGTACTTTATGCATATCAGAAACACAGCACAATGATGAGATGCACTGAGCAATTTGACTTGATCTATTTCACTTGCTCAAAAATAAAACGTGGGTTTGAAGCACAAATGGCAATTTAAATTCTGAAAAACGTTAGTTTGTTGCTTCCTCTCCAACTCAGTATTTTTGTATAACCTACTTAAAACTTGTATGAACGTAATAACATCTGGATATAAAACTAGTATGAACGTACTACTTAAAACTAGTATGAACATATTTTTGTATCGACTGCTCGGAGGAGATTTCTCAAGTATATCGGTGACTGTCTGTTAGTGTTTGCTTTGGGCGAAGGAGGTGAGGATTTGGACCTTGGGGTATAATTTCCATTCAAACCTGTCTTGGTCACGAAAAACTTACTTCGAATATTTTATGTACCAAGGAAAGAAGACGTGGGATGCTTCGAAGAACTTTGGTCCGAATATACACACAATAAAAAATGGTTGGCATCAACAAAACCAAATCTATCATCAACTATATGTGATCAGCAATGTCATCGATTTTTTAAAACAATACCAACCCCAAAACCTCATAAAAAAAATTCAAAACACTCAATAAAACATCAAATTAATTTAATAATCAAAATTAAATCCAATAGGGTTAGCTGTTATTTTTTGAGTTTTTATTTTTATTTTTATAGAAATTAAATGGTGTAGGGTTTATCTATATCATTAGTGCTAAGAATGGATATATGACTAAATATCTCATAAAAAAAAAACTTAGGGATATTTATCATGTTGATTTTACTAAAGTACGATTTTACCAAAATATTAACTCCTAAAGTGGTACACCAAAATAGTAGGTAAACTTAGCAGTCAAGGGGCCCCCTAAGACTTGTATTATCACGTCAAAGCTTGGACTAATGTAGTGAAAAGATTCGAACAAAAAATAATTGTACTGAAAACAGACTAGAAAACTACAAAAATATTAATGTATCAGAAGAGTCAATGTCGTGTGCGAGTGAAAAGAGACGCTAATACTTCTTTGATCTCTCAGCCAAAAACCCACCACATATTTTTTCTGATATTGATCAAGAGGAGCGTGAGAATTTGAGAAACCCACCAGATTTCTGATTCTATCTTTTAAATTATTAGTTTTTGTTTTATGTTCCTGCAGTTTTATACCAAACACATTTTTTTGGCGAAGATTTTATTTATTAAATTTTTTTTCAAAATTCGGTGCTACAACAAATTTTTATAAATTGCTTTAAACTTATTTGATGGTAGACTTTGGGTATTTTGATGAGATAATTAAGCTTATCGTCATATTGCGCTTCTAATATATATTATAGGTACATTATTGGATATGTAATTTATAGATTTTTTTTGTTGTTGCAATTTTAGGGGGTGATGTGTTAGTGGGAATGACAACCAAAAGAAATGAGGTGATTGATGTGTTATTAATAGGGAGAATTATAATTATGACAGTTAATGAAATGCTTGAAATAAATTATAAATAAAATATGAAGGTAGATGGCATATATTGTCATTTAGTTAATAATACAAATCTATCTTACATGGAAATGGTCAAGTGTGCATTTCTGAAGTCTGGTGGCAACGATGTAAAAATATAGGAATACTATGACCTCTTATATCCTACTAGTCATTTAAGTTTGAAATTGGGGTTTTTACATAAATTTATAGAGTGATAGGTATATGTCTAGGAAATAAAAAATATAGGGATCTATATTGAACAAGCCTTATTTTTTTTTTTATAACCTACTTAAAACTGGTATGAATGTAGTGACATGTGGATATACATACGCTATGAATTAAACTCTGAGGTTTATTAATTAACTTTATTAAACATGGCTGAAGCACAAACAAGACCTCAAGCTAATTAAACACACCTTGAAATTGAAATTACGTATTGATGATCAACTTGGAAGACTAATAATGTTGGTGTGACTCTTGCACACAGACTAATAATTTCCAGTCAAACCTTTCTTGGACACAAAAAGCTTACTTCCAATATTGTCTGTACCAGCAGGTAAAGAAGACATGGGATGCTTGGAAGAACTTCGGTCTGAATATACATACAATTAAAAATGGTTGCCATCAACAAAACCAAATCTATCAACTATATGTGATCACCAATGTCATAGTATATTGTTGTTTTTGTGTTGATATAATGATGATGGCGATAAGGATTGATGATGTTGATTGATTAAATTGTTTCATCACATATGATGACGGCATGAATTATATTAGAGTAATGGTAACTGTTAACTACACTTACTCCTTAAGAATCTTTGTTTTGTAAGTTCCATTTTATTTGGATCACTATCTGTTTTTGGTTGCGCTTATTATTGGTCTGTCCCGAATGGTAAACAAAAGGAAAACTGGTAGTGTTCGTATATACGTACACTAAGATAAAAAACTTAGGGATATTTATCATGTTGATTTTACTAAAATATCTAGAGAGAACATTAATTCCTAGAGTGGTACACCAATATATGATTTTACCAAAATAAGTTCAGCAAGTTTTTTCTTTGTTCCTGCCAAAGTGTGATCCAGATTCAGTCTCGAAACATGAACATTACCTTATACATTTATTTAGACAGTTTTTAAAATAATTTCATGGAGACAACATAAGTCACTACTACAAAAACCACTTTGCGCGACGAATGATTTTTGGTCGCGCAAAGGAAAATTTCGTCGCGCAAAGTTTGCGCGACGAAATTTTGGTCGCACAAATTCTGTCGCGCAAAACTCGTGGAGAAAGGGTTTGCACGATGGCCAAAATTATTCGTCGCACAAAGCCACTTTGCGCGACGAAGGATAACAACTTGCGCGACGAATCATTACTACTTTGCGCGACGAAAATAACAACTTTGCGCGACGAATATTAATTACTTCGCGCGACGAATACTGAAAACTTTGCGCGACGGACAATAACAACTTTGAGCGACGAATATTAATTACTTTAAGCGACGAATATTATATACTTCGCGCAACGAAAGTTAATGTCGCGCAAGTGTACTTTGCGCGACGAATGTGAACGTTGATCAAAGGTTTGCGCGACGAAATATTCATTTTTGAAAATTTTTGTTTTTTGAAAATTTTAAACTAATTTAATAGTTTGCGCGACGAAATATTTTGTCGCGCAAGGTTTTTGACATTTTTTTTAATTATTTCTCTTATATCAATTTCATTATATTAATTTTTTTAAATTTAATTTAATTGTATGATTTTGTTTTTCTTAATTACTTTAATTTAAATTGACATATTCAAAATAAAATTACATAAGAAAAATAGTGGTCAAATTATCCAATATACATAATATTCAAAATGTACACTTAAATTAACAAAGTACAATAATAAAATCTACAAGCCTCTTATATCAAATCCTCAACTTTAGCCATCAAAGCCTCAACAATTCCCTACCAAAAAATAAATAAATATTGTCAAATAACAAAACAATAACATAAAATAATGACAAATAATTGGCATAAACTCAAAACTAACTCCAAAAACATATATCAATGAAAAAAATTTAAAATTTACAGAGAAGTGAGTGTGAGAGAATTAGAGAAGATAGTGAGAGAGAGATGAGAGAGTGAGTGAGAGTGAGAGATGATGAAAAGAGAGATGAGAGAGTGAGTGAGAGAGAGAGAGAGAGAGATAGAGAGATAGTGAAGAGAGAGATGAGAGATTAAGTGAGAGGAGTGAGTGTGAGAGAAATGGTAGGATTTGGAGAGTAGTGCCCGCCAAATTTTTTCAGTTTTGCGCGATGAATTTATGGTCGCCCAAACTTTTGCGCGACCAAAATATTCCCGCGTCCCATTTTTGGTGCACGCCAAATTTTTAGAGTATACTTTGCGCGACGAATATTTATAT